CCCCCCCCCCCCCCCCCCCCCCCCCCCCCCCCCCCCCCCCCCCCCCCCCCCCCCCCCCCCCCCCCCCCCCCCCCCCCCCCCCCCCCCCAAGGAGCCGCAAAATTCTGCCGCTTAAACTTACACTCACTATTTTCTTCAAAAATATACGTGAGTTCTACAAAGCAATGTGCGTGTGGAGCTAAATATGATTGATATCACGCTCATGTCCTTGTAATCAATAGGGACCAAAATAGGTGACAGTTCAATTCGTCGTAATCAGTTCGTCACTATCTATTCGCTTCACGTTTTTTAATTACTTCTTTTTCTTAAAGATGTGAAATTGAACAATTAATTCGTCTTTATTTTATGGATTATACATAACAAAACGATGAAAAATTTCAGAAAAAAAAAGAAAAATCAATTAAAAAATATTTAAAGAATAATGTTGGCTGCCATATTTTTTAAGAATTCATCTAGTTGAGATGAGTCTAATGCGTTGTGCCAGCCTTCCACGGAATTGTTGGAACGAGGTACAGCAGCGATGACACGATCATGAATTGATTCCATAATTTGTGATCAAATAGAGGCTTTTTTCGACCGGCTTCTAAGAATATCGAAAACATTTCAAATTTTTCAAGAATTAAGAAAAAAATTACGATTTCTTTTTGGTTCACCAATCCAAGTTTTTTCGAAATAATCAAGTAAATCGTCGGCCTCATCGTCAAATTGATCGGCAATTAAGTCAAATGCAGATTATCTTTTCTTTTTTGTGAATAGATTAGAACGTACCTTTGTGTAAAATGTTAGGTAGCATCCCTTTGACTGATTTGATTGTACCAGACTCGAAATCAGTCATAATTGATTCAGGTTGAAAATTGTCTTGTTCAAATAATTTTTCGGAGAATTAATTGTAATCATGGTTGTTTTTACCAATTAGTAATTCATACATGAGAGGAATAATTGCATTAGTCATCATCGCATGTAACGTGAAGAGTTGGTAATAATCGTCGGGACACAGCTACATGAAAGAAAATTAGAAAAAAAGACATGTGATTGATAGTTGACTTTAAACGTTCCATCAGCGAACCAATGTTTGTTTTGCTTTAGAATAGATAAATTAGTTTTCGTTGTAAAGATAATTAATTTTTTGTCTTCGTGTAAGATGAAGTCTTCATCACGATACGTTTTTCGCAACTTTCCTGGTAAACGACCATTGACATCGATTGTTTCAGTAGTACGTTGTCGTCGAATCGTGAGCGAGAGTCCGTCACTTCTAGAAAGTTCACCAGCAGCAATCAATGGATATGTGCGTAAGGCTGAATTAATAATTGAACTGGATGATTCATCTGTCATCCCAGCACGAGTTTTTATTTCGTTCTTTAATTGGATAGCTGGAACACGATCAGGGTGTGGAGCATGACAATGTGTCGTTGGCAGGGAGAGAAATGCGTCCACTGATAAATTGGTATGACAACGTGGTTAATTAATAAATCTTTTTTATTTGAATTAATTGATTGATAATATTCAAAGTCAATTTACCTTTACAATCACAATTTTGACAACGAAAAATCAATTTGTCGTTGTGGTACGTTCTACAGTGTAGATGTAACTTTCATGAAGGAGCAGTGGTTTTCCTTTTTCAGAAAGGAGTTTTTCAATTTGAGACATCTTTTTGAAATGTTGTATGGAGTAAATGTTGAGATTGAGAAATGAAATATACTTTCAACATCATCCTGTATATATGTTTTTATCCCTATCGCAGAATTAAGAACATTGACTCAACGTTATCGTTAATATAGATTACGTTGAATTCATTAATTGCTTGACAAATATAATTATTCTTCATTCACTTTTACTCTATTATGGCTCGATCTGATTAACATTTTCTATTGATCCGCTTTCCCAATTGAACTCAGTAACTTTAGTACAATCTTTTATTCTATACATCTTTCACATTTTTCCATTTATTTTATTTCATTTGGTTATACAAACAAAAAATTAATTCAGAGAGATACGACAATTTTGCTGCGATGATCAATTATTTGGAAAAATCAGTAGTTTGAGAAAATTTTCATTTTACACATTTTTATTGGTTTATCGATGCTTCAAGAATATACGTGACTTCCACATTTTAACCTTAAAAGGGCTGTGCTGAATATCTTTTTCAGAAAAGTTGTGTTATGATTGGTTACTTTCAATGAATAATTTGAAGGATATGAATTTAAACCAAGCATATGATATCAAACGATGACCGAAAAATACTTTTTGATTAGTGTGGAAGTGTGGAGCTTCTCTTCAAATATACACACACCCGTATACCATTTCTTGTTGTTTATTTTTGTATTGCGTTTGACAGAGGGGATTACAATTAAAAACACACATAAAGTTCATTAGAGTTCAATTGAGAATCGTTGAACTCGATTATTGTCGCAGTCCGCAACATACAAACTACCATATCGATCGAAGGACAAACCAATGGGATAGACCAACTGGTTTGCTTGTTTTCCACGATCATTTCCACCAGCAATCAAAGTTCCCTGTGTTGCCCCACTGCACCAACGCATCACTCGATGATTCCACGAATCTGCTACATAGACTCTACCCAATGGATCCACGAACACTCCTCGAGGATGCGACAATTGGGTTAGCGAACTCCCTTGACCTCGACCACCAGCGACGACAATCCCTTCTTTTGCATCCGCGATCCACTTCATCACACGATGATTATAGTAATCGGAGACGTAGACAGAATGATCTCGATCCACAAAGACGTAGGTGGGATTGATGAGTTGATTGAAACGATCACCTGCTTTGTTGTCACCCGCCACCACTGTTCCATTCGTCTCTCCCATTCGATATCGTCTCACTTCATGCTTCTCCCAATTTGAGACGTAGAGGGATCCCTGATCGTCCATTGTTAAACCCAAACAGTCGATATTCTCAATGATGGTTTCTCCAGTTTTTCGACTTCGACGAGACCATCTTACCAGTCGTTGGTTCCCTCGGCTACAAATGATGAGACTGTCTGTCTCTTTGTCAACAATTACATCTACTGGACGGTTCAACTGATTAGGTTGATTTCCTGGTCCATTGCCACCAGCCACCACTTGACCACTTGTTGCACCCGACTTCCATTCCACAATACGATGATTCCATGTGTCAGCGATGAAGACAGTTTGATCATCATCTACATAAAGGCCGTACGGTTTATTGAGCTGATCTACTCCTCTATCCTGTCCACTGCTGCCAGCTACAGTGGCGCCATCCTGTGTCCATTTGGCATTTAGTGGAATGTTTGGGATAACTAGAACACGAAAAATATGCTCGAGAACATCGCAGCGAGAGACAAAAAAGACGTTTGCCTCCCTCCTTACCAATGTGCAGGAGAGATGAGTTCCGTATACAATGATTTCTATAGATCCTATGAGGGCGGTGTTCTTCTACCCCTCTCTCTCTCTCTGTTATAATTAAAATGCACAAAGAAAGGTTTTACCACGCTTCTAATTGATAGATTGTTTTCATGATAAGTGTGGTTGCGAGAAGACAAGGCGAAAGAAAAACATTGAATTTGTTCGGATTTCAATCCCGACTCAAAGTCGTCAGTCACTATGAATGAAATCAAATAATCAGAAAGAATGATTAGGTGCCAATCAAAATTTTGAACAGAAAGTAAAATGATGACGCTACTCGAAAACACGACATTTCTGCTTATAAAACGAACATTTTTCATCCCGTGAAATTTAGTGTGAGTCATTTGACGAACAGGATAAAAAAATCGAGGATGCCTATATTTGAACTGTGCATATATACAAGTAACGTTCATCGTATAGCGATCCACCCATCCCTAAATTGAAAGATGAGATGAGAGTGTGTTGGCATTTATATAGATACGCTTTTCATATACTCACACCCACATCTTCAACATGTTCTCATATTCAAACTAAAGAACCGCTCAGCTTTCTTCAGATGGTGATTGACTCAATACTTGCCTCGATTAAATTCCGAATGTGTGCCGTAGATGATGAAGAGCTCGATATCCTCACACCAAGAACTAGAATGATTGCCTTGATTGGGTAATGCACGAAATTCGATGGAAACTTCTAGTGTTTGCATTTCGTCATTCAAATACATATTGACGCTCTCGTTAGACGAACCTGTTCACAACAGATGAACCAAAAGCAGCTATTTAATGCTCGATCAATAAAACATACTATTAGTTTGCCAGACACAACCCTGATTGTTATTGTATATTCCTCTCAGTTTGATGGATATACCGCTGCCAAATTGTGCTCTTAATACAGCCTGAGACATTGGCCAAGACTTGGAATCCCACATGAATAAATTGACGTTTTGAACCATCGTAGCTATGCCACTGTCTGAGTGCAGAACGAAGCGGCAACCGTCTCGGGTATTTTCGTGAAATGCCGTTGTGGAGATATTGCCACTTATCACTGTCCAACCGTCCACGCGAGAGCTATTACAGTCGGCATGGCCATTACTAATCAAGTTCCTATCGCGTGCGACTGTTCCATTGGATATTCTAGCGTCTTGAATCGACATAGCATCTTGTAGATCGCTGTTTTGAATACCAGCGTTTAGGAAATTAGTCTTGTACAGATTGGCATGTCGCAACCTAACGTTGTCCAGAGTACATCTCTCGAAGGAACAATATTTCATATTGGCAAACGAGAAGTCTGGGTTGAATAATCTGGCAGAGCTAAAATTAGCCCCCCGGCAATCCACCTGTGTAAAATTTGCGCTCGATATTTGACTTTCGCAGAATTTGGCTGACACTAAAAGTTGAATTTGTGCATAGCTTTTTGATAAAAAAAAGTAAAATGTTTGTGAATATCACCTAGCACAGCTGATGAAAAGATGACATGAATGAACTGAGCAAGGATGAAAACGGGTTCCCAGAGTTTCGCATATGAAAAGTCGATGTCATGGAGTGTACCGAACTCAAACGCAACATTGAAGAGACGTGCATGTGCAAAACTGACATTGAAAAGCAGCGCCTTTGAAAAGTTGACGTTTTGAAGTAGAGCGAATGAAAAATCTATATTCTCCAATCGGGCATTCGATAAATTGGTATCGAAGAGAGAGGCGGATGAAAAATTGGCATTATAAATCGAGCTGAATGAAAGATCGACCCTCCCCAGCTCAGCTGACAAAAAATTGGCATTGTTTATTGTGGCAAAGGTAAAGTCGACATTTTCGATTTGGGTCAATGAAAAACTGGCATTGTCTAGCTGAGCGCCAGAGAAATTGGTGCGACTAATCTCTATCCTTGTAAATGTCGCATTCCATAGAAAGATACCAGCTAACGACAGGTCATTTAATTTCTTTTTATTGATTGCTAAATAGCGGAAATCGACCTCACGAAGTTCCGCTGTTGAGATGTCCAGTGCAGACTGGTTGTTCTTTTCGCCAAGTTGCCCGGCTTCGTAAAGAAATTGAATAATCTGAATGTTACGGCTTGCATCTAGTCGACGGAAGATAGTCAAAGTCTTGGCTCGAGTAATTGTTGCCGTGACTAGATTCGAAGTGAGCATTCCATGGTTATTCTGCATCATTGTGCCGATCTCCTTGATATAGGCGTCAAAAGCGTCGTCTTTATAACGATTATCACTCAAGGTGCCCTCCAGCTCACGTAATTGCTTGGCTGCCATTTGATCTTCAAGACGTTGTTTTTCGCTTGCATTTCGGTCTTGATTACGTTGTTCCCTAGCTGCGCTCTGTTGTTGAATGGTGATGATAGCAGTAAAGACTCCTAATACAAGTGGCAGTAACAGTGAAGACATGAACTGGAGACCATACTTCAGCTTTAAACCATAAAACTGATTAGCGATACGCAGGGACTGATCCGTTTGGGTGATCTTCTCTCGTAAAACCATTCTCTCTTCGTCGATTGTTCCGTTAAAATGGCAACGACAATAACTGAACTCCTGTCTTGTCTCCTTTGATATATATAATGGTAAGCAAGGTGATTGTGAGCATCAAAATAGGTCAGCTTACTCGATTCAAATGCCATGAAAATCATGGAATGTAAACCTACTGTTTTCAAAAACTTAGTGTTTGATCAATAGAATGTGACAAATGCATGGGAATCGGTTTCCCCTACCTTTGCCACGCACAGATATTAGTGAACGTGAGCTTTGCTTCATATTAAAACTGATTGAGGAAAAGGTATGAATGTGTGAATAAAGGAAAAGCCCACACCAACTCTCTTTCTCTCTCGAAGGTTCGTCTAAAACAGAGGCTTGTTCAATAATATTCATTTTAATTTGTTTTAATTGTTATTGTATTTTAAAAGCATAAGAAGCAGAGTCTCCTTGATATGTCTTATTCAAATTAAATGAATAAATGGAACAACCTTAGTCTTACGAAAATGATCTCCGATGACGAAGAATATATGAAAAAACTTAGGAATGGGCGTGGGTGTGATGTCTTGTTTCATATCCATACCCACACCCACACCCTTAGTACATTGAATGCAGCATTAGGATGAAGGTGAGATTAAATTGGAGTAGTACCGAAATGTATAGTCTATTCTATTTTTATTCTTTTTCGTTTTGATTCCATCATTAACTTATTTGTACAATTTTTAAAGAAAGACGTGCCATTTAAATAATTAAAATTGAAATGAATTTGTTAGGTAGTATTTAACTATTTCAAATTTATCGATAATTTTCCTATCAATAAACCAAGTCAGAAATAATTAGGCATGAATAGTACCCGAACCGTTCGGGTTCGGTGCATGCCTAGAAATAATAGAAGAAAATGATTTATGTCGTTAACATTATTTTTTTAATCTTTTCAAACCAGTTTCACTTGATTAGAAGTAATCATTTTAATGCATCATATGTAAAGCATTTTCAGCCGTTTTTTGTGACAGTTTTATATCATTATAATGATGTGTATTTTTAAGCATTTTAAAACCATTTTGCTCCCTGACTGGCTTCTTTACTTTTACAATAGTTCCTATTGGTTGATATGAGCTATCATAGTCTACGCATTGATTAATAACGACTGTTGCTAAGCTGACCGTAACATAAAACCAAATCCATCAATTTGTGTTAAATGAATATAAATTGAGGAAAGTAAAAATCAATGATGAAAAAACATGATTCATTTCGATAACGTTCTTGCGAAATGATTCATATCATATGGATTACTTTTCTTTCTGTGATCATTTCAAACAGCTATTTTTCTTTATCTTTTCTTTCTTGCATGTTCTGTGCATCCATGTTGGATAAAATAACGTGCTATGCAAAGCATACATGCAGTCTTTATTCAAACTTATACATCAATAAGCTATTCATCATTATAGATTTTATAAACTGTCTGATTTTTTCATGAAGCAAATCAAAAGAAGACGAAATAATATTATTCATGATAATAATTATAACAAAAGAAAAAAGATTGACGGTAAAAAATTATATCTGCTTTTTTTTGATGAACACATCTTTTATTTCTTAGTAACGGCAAACGAAACAGACTGGTTTGTTTATTACAAAACTATTTTTTTGTTTTATCAAAACTCTCTTCTTTTTCAGTTTAATAAAAGACGATATTACTACTCTTGAAAATCTTTCAAATGAACTTATTTATGAAATATTTGAATTTCTCAACTATCATCATGCATTTCAAGCTTTTTACGATCTTAATCAACGATTTCAAGATTTTTTTCTTAATTCAAATCTTCCGATTAAAATCAATATTTCATCCATGTCAAAATCAAAATTACAGCAGTATTTAACACATATTATTAAACCTTATGCTTATCGAATTGAATTCTTTCGATTATCGAATCCATTTATTGATCTAAGTTTATTACTACTGCCAATAATGAAAAATTTAACTCAACTTACAACACTTATTTTAAATAATATTGAATCGAATTATATTGAACAAATTGTAAATCATTTGTCTTCTCTACCTGTTTTATCCTCATTGATTATCATATCGATTAATACTATTAAAAATCCTTGCAATATCTATTATAAAATATTTCATTTACCTATACTGAAATACTGTCAGATATTAATTGAACTATTACAATGTCCAAAATCGTTACATGTTGCTACAAATGAATTTAGTACTATCGAACATCTCATCATTAATCATGAGATTTCGATTGATCAACTTCCTATTTTATTATCTTATGTTCCACAGCTACGCCGTTTATCAATTGGTAATCTTAAGGAACCTAAACTCAATCGAAACGAAAGAGGTTCGGTAACCTTAAATTATTTAACAAATGTTTCACTTAAATTACATAATGTTAATTTTGATGATTTCGAAAGCTTAGTAACAAATTATTTTCGTCAAATTCAAGTTTTAACTATTGCAATACAGTATATTGGATTATATGGTAATAGTACACAGTATTTAAATGCTCATCGATGGGAACAACTAATTGCAACTCATATGTTAAATCTGAGTGTCTTTGATTTTCAACTTTCATATCGTGGAATAGATTCCAATGATGAACGTCAAGCATTTGAAACTCTTATCAATAAATTTAATTCAAAATTTTGGATAGAACATCAATGGTTCTTTGACCATCATTATCATCAGATAACATGGTCGAATGCTGCTGTCTTCTATTCAAGAAATCCGCATAGGTAAAAACAAGACAAATTTATCGATTACACTATATTTCTTCATCTATTTCTTTTCAGAAGAAAAGATTATGTATTGTATGATGAACTAGTCGAAACTATCTGGTCATCTCGTTTTGATATTAATGAAGATCCAATTCATCATATTTGTATTCATAGTAAAAATATGATAAAAAAATCTATTGATAATTTTCCAAATGCTACTAAACTTACATTTTGTGAAACATTTGAAGTACCTCGTGATTCAATTACCATTGATTTTAATCGTCTTCTTAAATTGAAAAAATTGACTAAACTAACTATTGAATGTCATCATTTTTCTTTTGAACAAGTAATTGAACTTTTACAATTTGCACCTAATGTTCATGCATTGAAACTTGATTCTATAATACTTTATCGAACTGATTCTGTTTCAATTCAACAAAAAGAATTATCAAAATTGGTATCTAATATGAATACTATAACAAAGGTAACAATTAGTAAAGAAATTACGTTGGAAAAAATTCAATTACTCACTACTGTTTTTCCTCGAATGGAATATCTCACTATTAATTTATATAAACAAGATTTACAACCAATAGCTCAATATTTATTATCAAAATCTAATAGTAACACTCGTTATTTATCTTCATTGTGCATTTCAAAGCAACGTAATGATCTGATAACAACATTGAAAACTTTAATTAAATCAAAAAAACTTCTTCATGATTATACTCTCAAAGTTATTAATCGAAAATTGTATTTATGGTGGTAGAATTGATTTTTTAAACAGATATCTTGATTTTGAATATAGCTTCCTTTCGAATAAATATGAAAATTAATCGTTAATATACGTTTCTAGGTTGACTAGTTGAAAAATGAAGATATGTATGATAGAACGAAAATTTTTTTTTATTATACTGAATAATATTCACGAATGATAAAACTTATTGAGGATTAATAAACTATGATCATCTTATCTATTCTAATTTAAGAGAATGACCGAAAATTAAGAATTTTGACATTCGAACAATAAAATGAATTTTTATCAACGTCGTGTATGTACTTATATTTATATAAAAGTAAGCAAAAGATATCGTGCGAATAAGTACCGTCTTTAATATCACTATTCCATTCGATTCTGACGTATATTATTAATATAATGTTGTACATTCAGTAACATATCTATTTGAAGTAGTGGTGAAGAGGAGATTTTAAATACGATTTTTTTTGTCCTTCGACACAACCGTGTGTATTAAATAACTATAATCATACCAAACTATATGTTCATAGACTTTAAGCGACAATAATAGAAGTTCGCACACTATCTTCCAGATCAGATCATTGCGACCAATTCATTCAAAGGAAATATATTTCTTCATAAATCTGATCAAATCAGATTATCTTTCTTACGAGAGAACGTTTTCAACTGTCTAATCAGTTTTGGAATTGAACTCGACGCATAAAGTAGATCTTCACGAGATATGAAAAACTTCAAATGGATAGGTGCCCTTAAGCCTTTTGTTCAGAGTTGGGGTGGGTGTGCGTGTTTGACATGAATAATACTCCGACACACCCACATCCTCAAGTCCATAAAAATTAAATCACTGATAAATATTTCGTCATGATACCACGAGTGTTGAAGTTTATTGTTGTTATTTTCCTGTACAATGCGGTCACGTAGATAAAGCAGATTATGCATTGACTAAATATGAAAAAAATAAAACAATCTAAATGCATTTTCATCATTGATCGACTCGCTTTATCAAATGATTGTCTTGATAAACAAAATGTCCGAATTATTGTCAGACATTTCATTGAAGTAGCAGATATTAAAACGTAAAAAAGCTTATTCGTATCTGAGATCTACTTTTTTTACTTCAAACAAATTCACATTAAAAAGTTCCTCGTTTTTAAATCTTTTCCTATGGTTTGTTTTTGCAGTTTCATATAGTGTTCTTTTTCTATTTTTCTTTCCGTGCTTTCAACAAAGTATCACAGCCGCAAGCGTTCTTGCCGTTGCTACCATGACGTTGAACCGTTTGTTATTTTTAAAAGAATAATTAATTGAGCAAGGTTTTTCACCAATGCGTTCATGAATCATAAATTATGGGAAAAAAATGTTTTCTTACGGAAACAACGTTACAATAAAAAGAGGCACTCGTGAAGAAATGATTTTCTATATTATAGTAACAGCGCACAATACGAATTCGAACTAAAAATTAATCCTTACTGGTTTGAACTCATCAAAGAAGTTAACTATGGCTTGTTCCAATGGATTACGACATCAAGAAACCGTAGATTCAACTACAGTTCTCTTAAAGGTCAACATTACATTAGAAGAGTCAAGAGGCGATGTTAAAGTTCCATTGTCACCTTCGGTAGATATTTCATATGACAGGCTTTTACCATATTTCTCTGACTATGATAATCTTGGCGAACATACAGCTACAGAACAACAACAACAACAAACAACGTGCACCGATGACGATCAAAGTCAACAAACTTACTGTATAAATCTCGCTACTGTTCCTGACGATAGGGCAAACAAGTTTCAACTAAAAGAAGCTCAATATATTAACAGAAAATTGATGAATTTCGTTGAAGAGTTATTGAAAGCTATCAACATTAAACATCAAGTTGTCGATAAAGACAGTATTTCGTGCACTGCTGAATGGAATATCGAACCATACGGATCTTTTCTTATCACATGTACACGTACAATGGTTTGCAGATTACGTGCATTGTTGGGTATGACGTTTCACCAAGATCCGGTTAGTGTTTGTTCATCATATACTGTTGGCAATGATCCAGTGTACAGCTGTTTCCTTGTTACGACATGTGATGGCTCACGAATTAGTAATGATGATGCTCTTAAAATAATGAAATTAATCTGCACAGATTTTCCACAACTATCTTGAGGGCGTGGGTGCATGTGTGGCGTCTTGTTTCATATCCACACTCACACACCCACACCCTAGGATACAGGACTGAGAAAAACGCACTCATTTGTATTTTTGTTTTAGTAGCCAAAAAACTGAGCTAGACCAGCGTCTTTTCCTGATGTTTTTCTGAGACTCGATTTCAAATAAATTTGTTTTTTCTCAAATTTAAAATTCGAATCGAGCAAATCTGACTGAATCATCAGAAAAATCGTACTTGAGTTTGTATATTTCAACACACAAATCATTGCAAGCAGGAAAAGTATATGAACAAAAAATAAAAACGCTAAAAAACAATCTGTCCTTATAATTTTGGTCAGTACTGTGTATATCAGTTTTCACAATAACGATTGCACTATGAAAAAAATATACACAAATGCTCACTGCGTCTAGCTACTTATTCTTGGGGATAAAATATTACCAATTGCTTTTGCTAATCACGGATAAATACGTACGTATTTCGTTAAGGATAGCTGGTTGGCACTAGCAACTATGTATTTAATCTAGAGACTAAGTATTACAAAGAATAATCATACTTAGGGCATACCAAAAGTTCGGGCAGTGATATTGTAATATTGTTTAGTAGGCTTAAATAAGTTTTCTTCTAGGTATAGGGTGTGGATGTGGATATGAAGCAAGACGCCACACATACACCCACCACATCCACACCTACCACACCCACACCCACACCCACACCCACACCCACACCCACACCCTTTAGAATGGTTTATATTTTGTCTTATACGTCTATGGGCTCTTCGTATTCTTGTTATAAATTTAGGCTGTATATCAATATTAGTTATTTGGTGTGAAATGACATTTTTCAGTGCAAAAACAGTTTTATCCGTATTTGCTCAATGTGTTAATGCATCTCGACGTCATTATAATTATTTTACAATTGAAGTAAGATTAAATCTCCAACCATTAACTGTTTTGAAAAGGAGTCCTCATGTTCGAGAGTTTGCGAGTACCACATTTCTGCTAATAGTAACGGTACCAACAAGGTTTGATTTCATAAATTTTTCAAGGATCTCTGGTAGACCAATTAATGCAAAAAATGGTGATCCGAAACTTGCAAAATATGCCAAATAGTTCACAACAAGTACAAGAAAATCTCCGCCAAATGATGGATCATATAAATCTTGTACTAAGATTATAACTACTCAAGGCATCCAAGTCATTAGAGTCATTGAACTTATGCCTAGTAATTGTAAGATCATTCGTCGATTTCTTTGTAATGTATTCGATACTGGTATCGATGGTGACACCATATGCTTGCGTACGATTACGTGACCAATCATCATGAGACTGAAAATCAATATAATAAAAGCTGGTAGCATTGTATCAACAACTGTATCATATATACTTTGAACCATATCATTAAGATAGCATGCTCCTCCGCAAAGCAATGCAGCTACATCGTGTTCATAATTTGATCCGCATGGAAAACTTAGAATAAGATACATGTAAATTCCGAAAGGATATACACAAACGAATCCCAACGGTATATAATGAAACAATATTTTGTGTTTCATAATGATCTGTTTGTGAAATACTAACATATAGCGTTCAATCGCTGCATACATTGTCAGAAATAAAGATACTACTGGAAGAGTATAGTTCCAATAGATCCAAAACAGACATAATTTCGATGATCGTACGTATCCTAATGAAAGATAGGATAACGTAAATGGTAATTCAGTTGTAATTAGCAAGAAATCACTTATTAAGATACATAAAATCACATGATGATTGATACGATTCATAAGTAATACGTGGCGCAATCGAAAAAAATAATAAAAGATAACCAGAAAACATATTAATGATGGTACACCCAATGTAATTATTAAGGACATTGTAATAGTTCGTTGTTTCATGCTGATTGTATATATGCTATTTTGATGTACAAACGAAATATTGTTCATTTGCTTATTCATATCACTTTCAGGACAGATGTGTATGTGTGCTTCTTGCTCGACGATAGAAAAGTTCGAAGTTTTGTAATGAAAAAGAGGACGCTTGTTCTATCAAGCCAATGTTCGAAGCAGTGCTACTAGTGTTAGTTTCAGGTGGTATTTAAATTATGATGAAAAAGAAGACCACAGAATTTACAATATTTTTTTAGAAATACTAATGAAAAAAGAAGTGCCTACCGCTGAACATTTAAATTGTCATTTATATATATTCTGCTTTTTCAGGAAGCATGATTGCTTCTTGATTAAATATCAAAAGCGACGGAGCTCACAAGCGCCAGAGCTGAAACAATGTAAAAATATCGTGAAAATATTTGATAACTCTTTTGTACAGAAAATCAGAAAAAAACTGGTTACACTTAATGTCAAATGTGGCCTTGAGTTAGGAAATGCATTACTCAATGCTGTATAACATTAGTAGAACTACACTTACTCTACAATTCTGATAGTACATAATATCCATTGTAAGCTATTTTAATGGCTTGCATAAAAGGTACCATAAACATCATAATTGCAAGATTCTCGAAATTCTCAAGATCAAGGGTGTGGGTGGATATGATAGACGAGAATATCAATCTAGCTGATATCAACGATTGCACTCTTTCGAAGGAGTAAATCCTAAAGAACAATTTATCAGTGATGGGGTGTGGGTGTGAGTCTCCGCTACCAAATCATCCACACTCACACCCACGCCCTGATAACTGAGCATAAATAGAAAAATTGCTTGGAAGTATCACCAAGAAAACGGCATTTAATTACTACTTTCTAATACTATATGGCGATAGTGAAGTTAAATGCATCCGATCTGCTACTGCTCAAGCTATGCTCCGAAAAACTTTCGACCAGCTTGATAGCGGAGTGAAGAATAAGACCCATTCAGGAGAGCTATGATCAAAATACTCCATTTTAGTTAAGTTACAACTCAAATTGATTTATAAACTAGATATTTAATATGAATCTGCACGAGTAAATCATAGATCAAATATCAAACTGACTTTTTCTAACTCGATTTCGGTTAGATTTATCCTCATTTTTGCTCAATCTCATGTGGGCTCATTTTATTTCCGTGCGTTTTCGGTCTAGAATTCATATATATTCATACCCGGTTGAACGTTCACAGATAGATAAATCTAAGATTTACATCTTTTGAATCAAATCCACTCGCAATCAGGAAAACAAAACTTATTAAGATATTCGCGACAAATATACATTTCAAATATTTCACACCAGTTGAACAATTATTTCACGATCTTTCTTCGGAAGAACTTGAAGATATTTACCTTTTCCGAAAATTGTTTCAACTTTTCTAATCGAGACAACGTGTAACTATTCTAAAAGTCTCCAAGGCCTGTAGTCTTATAATTACAACAGATTTTTAACTGAACGGCTAGTCGTTCATCAGCGCCCCTCCTGAGCACCAATCATGGCTAGCCGTTGCCAAATTGAGAATCAATTCCACCGCACACTATAAACATCATTGAATGGTACCCTCAAAAAATTTCCCTACAAAGAATTCTTATCAAGAAAATGCAATGATCTCAACTGCTCCTAATTCATTATAAACTTGCTTGAACTACAACATTTCAAAAAACTAACAACGCCATCGTGTTCCCCGACCCCAATTACCTTCGGTCAAACCTATCCCTACAGATATTGTTTGAGGTTAGTTAAGTTTATTCATCTGATTTCCTATTGAACGAACGAACGAATGAATGAACGAACGAAACAACTCATTTCGGCGTAAGACCCTCCTTTCAGTAGAGGACACTTTCTGACACGTCCATTAGTGATGCATGACGGAGTACATCATCATTCTCTCATTACCTATCTAAAAGGATGTCTGTTATCGAACACTGGAAAGTACATAAACGCCACCATCGAGGAAAAACATTTGCGCATAATTAAATCTACCGGCCAAATGATAAGTGCTATTGTAATAGAATAATTTACAGCCCTTTTTCTTTATTACTTATCTTGCACGAAAATTCACCACAAATAAAACCTTTAACGATCGAAAATCAATCGTAGTTAAAAGCTTCATACTTTCTTAGAGCATCAAGTCTAAAATTTCGAGAACCATAAAAATGTGCTCACTTGTATAGCTTCAATCTACCAACGAGAAATCTCAGAAGAACGCTTGTCTTGATTAAATGCATCATCATCATCAAAGAGTATTATTATGTATCAGAATCAACTGTTCGTTAATAATTTAAACACTCCCGATCTTTCAAAAGATGTGTCATATATCGAGGCGCTAATGCTCTATCAAATGACATATGTGCCATTCATGGATTCACTATTGACTGAGAAGATTGGATTTACAATAAAGGGTCAACACAACCAAAGCCTAATTCAGAAAGAATATGTTACCCAACAATTATTCAAACATGTCAAATGAATCGAGAGAAGTCTCAAAGACGTAGAAAATTATTTTCTAACCAATCCTTTTCTCACCAATCTAGTTTTATGAAAAGAAAAACTGGTTGAACATTATGAGAGTGAGTTCAGGGAATTTTATACAAACTATTCGATGTAGGCTGACCTTCTTTATCTAAAAAGTCTATTTGTAACTTTCGGATATGATTATCTTCGAGGAATTGATGAATGCGCGTTAAGCTTTACTTTTACCAAGTTTCTCTACTTTGAAGGCTCAGCACACGTCATGTGGATGGGTAATTTCTTCAGAATCAACATCTGATGAGACTTTTCTAATTTCTTTTAGCACTCTTGTTGTTTACCAAGTCGAGTATTAAGAAAAGTTTGGATAGTTGAAAGAGTGACATTGGTATTATATGCCTGTTTCACTATTGGTTACTTCTTTCTAGCATCTGATTAGTTGTCATGGTATCTTCATGTCGATCATGCTAGAAATAGGGCTCCATGCAAAATAGCAGATTTCAAGCAATTAAATATAATCCTTCAGAATGAAAAAAAACATTGCTCTTTCACGTCTTAACTGGACCAACAGTAGCTATTTTTTAACACACAATTTAATCATATTCTATTTTCGTAAAGGATGAGCAATTATTTTGCAATAGAATTTATAGCAGTACAGAAAAATACTGTAGTCAAAGAAAAAAGCGAAAACCAATCAACTTGACATGTAGAGCCATAAAGCCATATTGGAAGCAAACATGAATAATAACATACAACTGAAGACGAAATAGTTTAAAGCACTGCATCTAGCTTCAATGTCTTTTTTGGTCTTGCCTTTTGCTTTATCTTTATCAAAATCAGCTTGACACGTCTCGCATCTGTTGCAAAAGTTACATTTTGCTTTTGTTGTCTCGTTTGTCTCATCAACATTCGCATCTGTTGTTGTTTCAATTGTGTTAGATTCAACTTTATCGACTTTGATGTCCGCTTTTTCGTCCAAATTTTCAACTCTAGTTTGTCTATGAAGACACGAGCTAAATAGTTTTTGGCAAGACACACATTTCATATTTTCGAACATTGTTGACTTTTTAACATCAACATTTTCAACAACAACCTTCTCCATTTTATCTGGCTTCTTCTCTTCTTTTGGCGCGGGGAAACACCAAAGCAATTTTTGCAATTCTCCAGAAAAGCCGTACAACGGCGCTGGGATTTCAGATTTCGAGGCAAACTGATTACATATGATAAACCATATCATCGATATTAATGTAAAACACATCGAAAGTAAAAAGTAAATTGTAATTATCATTACATATTGAGATTGTTGTGGAAATAGACTGGAAAAATTCAAGGAATAAACAGAATACGTCATGAAACATGTCATACCTAAACGACGGGTGTAATATTTACTTATAAAAGTTACTTCTAATGTTAAAAAAAGTCTTACATAGACCAATTTGTGATCCAAAAGGTAGTGTATAGGCTAGAAGAGTAACACAGTTCAAAACCAAACATGCAAATATACCATTCATTATAAAATATAATGGTTTTCTTTCTAGATACAGCTGTATCGCTAGAACATCATTGGTGGTATCTTCAAAGGGTGACCTATCTGCTGTACTAACTATAGCCAAATCAGTTCCATTCAATGTCCATAAAGGATGTTCACTATATGCACTGGAATCAATCACTAAGGTTTTGTCTTCTGTGTATATGACTCGATTGATTCCTTGACCCCATGATGTTAGATTTATGCTACACATCTGTTTATCAAATGGAAAATTTTTAACATTGAAGCTACATCTTGTTTTGACCGATAGAGCTGGTAGTATCATATAAACTTGGCCCGAGTAGTTAACAGATGCCAAACTATAGGTATTCACTGTGAGATAGCCATTTGTATCTGCTGAATTCACTATCATCGTATCTGGTATCCACAAAGTACTAACTAGCATAATGACTACTGTTATATTATTATTCGAGCTAGGTGTCCAAGATAACCGATTATCATACCACGTTTGAGAAATAAACAAAGTTGATGTCATTATTTGTTGTTTTTCATCAATAGCAACGATCTGTTGTATCGAAGCAGTCATATCAACAGAAACTTGGGTATCAGGCCTTATGTTCTTATTATATCCACTCATTAATGTTGTTATAAGTGTTTGTTCAGCTTGTTGTGCAGCTGGAAGTGTTCCACAGTTGCAAAAGTGACATAGATAGCAGACGATGATAATAAACGCTGGAAGTTTCATCATTCTGAGATTCTTGACTGTTGAATCAGTTTAGTACGAGGTTTCAAGCACGTTATCTACGTTGTGTTTTTATTGTTATATAGAAAAGAAAGTTACCAATTCTAACGGAATTAATAATATTTACACTCGAACGACCTCAAATGTGCATAAAATACAGAAATTTATTCGAGAATAGCTCTACCTGTGAGTGTGTGAATTCATAATGGTAGAATAGTCAAAGTCTTCCACTAGATCACCTCTGTATTGTTCTTTCATGAGAGCCAATCTAGAAACTTAATATAAATTCTCGTTAAAAGTGATTTAAGCTATTGCAAGGGTAATGCAAGCAGTCTTCATTATTTTCACAGCATTATCTAGTTAAATATAGCGGCATATTTTTAAATATTACAGAAAATACCTTTCATTGCATTCATAAGAAACTCGAAATTTGAAAGTGAAAAATTCAGTAAAGACGATGAACAACGGTCGAGGATGATCATTCTGATAAACAGATTCTATCTGGTCCGACAGAAATCGATCGGATTTAATGTGGATTTTCAGCAGTGGCCGGGTTCTAAGAGTTCAGAACTCCTCAGGAACCTTGAACTCTAAAAATCGCAATGGCATGCGAATAATTCATGTAGTCGAACTCTAATAACTGTAAGAGCCCTAGGAACTATAGAACCCTAAGAACTCTTGAAACCCTAATAAATTTGTCAGCTGCTGAGCATATATGCCTGTAGTATTGTTTTAAAACATTTTTGAGGAAAAAAATTCAGGATGTTGAAAGTCAAGGTGGGAAATCTGTAAGTGCCCAGATTGCGTTTATTATCAAGAACGGATTTGAATATTTTTCGTGGGGGCGAAGAATTTCATGAGTAAGCTGTATGGCTCTAGATAGCGGGATATTTGACTGATAGTTAGGTGATGTCCCATGGTGATAGTAAAAATACCATGATTCGTATCGTGACTTTCCATGATGTGTGTTATAATTCAGGTAGTACATATTAAAAGAAAAAATTGTTTAGCAGGCTCCTTTAGGGCGTTCTTTCTGAACACTTATATTGGTTTCAAAACGTTTTGCTTTAACATTGCTCAAGGGTCGATGTTGTTGGGTTTCCTGTGGTTGCTATCGCGATTGAAGATCGTAGGGATGTGTAGATCCTTGGATGGAGCGGTACTTCCACGTTACTTAATGTGAACGGTATAGGTGACATACTTTCCGTTTAAATAGAAAACTAAAAAATGTGAGTTGAACTTATAGCTTAAAATCGGTTTATGCAAAATGTTTTTTTAATTAGGGATATTTTTGAATAAATCAAAGCTATTCATATGAAAACTGTTTCCTTTTTTTTATAAAAGAAGGCGTTTCTTTGAAATCAGAGACACAGTTCTATATTTAAAAAGTATAGTATGACATCGAAATTCGAAATATAAAATATACTTAATTTAAGTCAAACTTGTATTCTGAAAATTGAGAGTTAGTGTTGGTTTCTGCAACCAGACGTGTAAATTGAAAATATTGTATTTGAGGGTGTGGGTGTAGTCGTGCTAGCGGGGGAGTATCTCTCAGCGAGTGTGCAGGCGTGGTAGTGGGGCGTATGCCCCAATGAGGGTGCAGAGGTGGCAACGGGGGATGTATCTCTGATCGAGGATGTAGGGGTGTCATTTGGGATGCTTGTCTCAGCGCGCGTGGAAGAACAAACGGCATACACGGGCTGACGGAGGAGCCAGACTTGACAGTAACGGGATCTCTCTGCAGATGTAGGTGTAGAAGGCAATTGCCAGTATTGGTGTTGTACTTCCTACACCCAATATACCTAATTCCGCATGCGCGCCATGTATCCTGTACATGCTTTCCTGAGAAAGTTTGCAGTTTCAGTGAAAATTGGCATAAGATACGTAATTCTTAACTGCTCGTGATGCATCGAGAATCATGACGTCTGGTAAATCGCAGGTATAAGTTGAAAGTAACTACATTCTAAATGAAAAAGCTCATTAAATGTCTCAAGCCTAGTCGAAATGACCGATGCCGAGATAGTTTCGCATAAAAGGGCCCATGCACCTAGGAACAACAAAGTCAATGGATTAAAATATGGTAGAAGATCGAGTGTGAGATTGCCCCTAAGTCATCTACATCTTGCCAGAAACCTGATCGTTTCAAGTTTTGAAAGCGAATATCCCATCAAACACTAGATTTATGGTGTAATGGTACGTTAATTTAACTTCACCAACGTTCTTACAAACTGTGAAAAAAGCTCATCCGCGTAGCTTCATTGGGTCTGAAATATGAAACTGAAATGTATCCTTTAAAGTTTTTGAGCTACAGAAAATGGATTAATAGAAAAAGGTTTCTGCAAGAATTTCTTTCCTTACTGTTATTCTACAAGCAGGGAATTTCATATTAGCTATGCTTTGAATGACGGATGTCTGCGTCTGGTAGCTAATGTCGGTAAACAGAAGGATGCAGCCGGAAAAATCTCGTTATTAAACTTGCATTCAAAATTGTCTACCAAAAATATGTGTTAGCTCAACAACAAATTCTGTTCCTATTGAAACTTTTTGAATCCTACCGATCTTTAAAGTGTTTCGTTTAAAAGTTTCACGGTGCGCATACAGGATAGGAATCATTTTAGGTGTCCTCACTTGTGTGGAACTTTAAAAGTTTCAGTTGTTAACCTCTTTTTCTCGAGTGTATCTTGGTACTTCAAACCATCAGTGACGTTACTAGATTTCCATCCGACCTCAAAATTAAACAGTTCTCGAAAACCAATGAATCACACTTGATCCGTGTATTCCAAACAGTTCTGGAGTTCTCAGGTTGCTGTGGTTGCTAGGGTTCTAAGAGTTCTAGGAGTTCCTAGGGTTTCTAGAGTTCTAAGAGTTCAATCACTTGTACTAAGCCGCTAATACCTATTGGTGACTTCTTTGAAGAGTTCTGAACTCTTAGAATCCCGGCCACATCTCAAAAAAGTACTTCGTTTTAGTCAAAATGCAACTTTATAAAATACAGTCTAACAAAACAATTTTTACCGTGCCAAGATGGTGAATGTTGAATAGAGACGATACACCTCTATTGAAGAAAAAAAAACGAATCAAAATTGAAATGCAAAGAGAAGCTGTAACTAAACAAGAAACCTGTATGAATCGATGTCTTCTTGCACAGCGAGATGTATTTTTCTTTCATTCAGTATTGGCATGGTGGATAGCCGATTTTTTAAAAAGAAAGCAGCAAATTTTGATTGGTATTAATTTAATTTTTTCTACTAGATGAATGCTGTTGTTAAAGCCAAGAAAAATTTGTTGTGCGAGGGAGATTGTGCTACCTACGTCCATTAATTTTAAAATGCATTAATGAAACCTATAAAATAGTCAGCAACTTCTTTCTTACATGTACTTTGACAGTAGATTTTATTATAATTAGTATGTTTGAAGTTTCATTTTGCGTGATCAAAAATGAATTATAGCGGCGATAGCGAAGAAATATTCGATTCTAATGTGCATTTCAATAGATACAAGCTTTATAAGCAATCTCGCTTGCTATTCAGTGTTCAAGAAATGCAGGGTTTGTAAAATAATGTCGTATTCGATTTGTACTGAGCATGGTAGAGTGTATGTCACTGACTGTTCTGAATAGGAGGGGCAAGTGCCATCTCAAAGTATGACTGTGGCGAGCTAATATATATATATGCAATAGGAGTGAAAATTCGGTGTGGCAAAAATTCCAATGATACTTTTTCATGAAAGCTTCAGTTAGTTTTTCTACATTATTTATGGAGTCTTGTACTCTAAAAAAAATCGGTACTCTACCGAACCTTAATAGTTCCGCATTTCTGCACCAAACGATTTTAAGTTCCGTGGGCCGCAAAACGTTTCGTGGTTTGCTTTCAAAACTATTTTAAGTTCAGCAGATATAAAAAAGTTTTGCAATTCAGCTCTGGAACTACTTACAGGTTTCGTAAAATTATTTTTGGTTTCGTAGATCAAGTGCAAATCCTCTGATAGTTTCGTAACATCGAAGAAGGTTTCGAATTATGTCGACAAAACCCTTGATGGTTTCGTAACATATGTTAGGGTTTTGAATATTTTCTGCAAAATGATTGATAGTTTCGTAGAAGTTTAAAAGGTTTCGCATTATTTGTGCGAAATTTTTAGACACCTTCGAGTTGGCTTCAAAGTTTCGTATCTTTTACATGGAACTGCTCATGGATTCGAAAATTGTAGAATGGTTTAGTATACTTTATACGTACATTTTGATGGTTTCGTAAACTCAAGAACGGTTTGGAATTTTTTCTACTAAATGACTAATAGTTCCGTAAAGGTTTTTAAGGTTTTGTGTTATTTCTGCCAAACTTTTCAATATTTTCCAATCTGTTTAAAGATTTAGCTTATTTTATACGAAACCCAAGATAGTTTCGTAAACCGTAGCAAGATTTAGAATATTTTCGACGATATGACTGATTGTTTTGCAGATTATCTGAAGGTTTTGCAATTTTCTAAATAAACTTTTCACGGTTTAATTAAAAACTAATACTTGTATGATATGCACGAAATTTTATGTGATTCTGAGCGATATCGAGAGCTTTTTTTGCTTTCTCGTAATCGTGACAGTCTGATCAGCATTACTTCCGGTTTGGTCTTATTTAACCCTTTACGGCCGGATGTTGTCATCTGGCGACATGGTGCCGATATTTTAAGAAAGATCTAGCTATACTGTGGATAGATAGTGAATCAATAGTTCAATAATTACTACAAGATATTTTTAAAACACACTCATAATCCATGAAACGAAACAAAAACGTTCAGCTGAGAAAATTACCGGAGTCCTCCTGAATAGTCCTAAAGAACAACTGAATCCTAATATATGTTCTTATGGTACCATCACTCATTCAATTCGACAGGTCACTAGTAGTAAATTTCTCCTCCTTGATCTATTGTATATTGTATCACTCAAAGAGATGATTCAATGAGTACTGTCAATAAGAGGTATGAATGTTGCCAAATGGCAACAGCCGGTCATAAGGGGTCAAAATTTTTGAAAAATTATTCTTCGTTTTCGACCATCGCTTTTCGCTATTTTGTGTTTTTTCATTTATTCATACAAGAACAAAGCATACAAAACATATCTGAAGCATTTATATAGCTTTTATTAGCTTTAAATGGAATTTTCTATGAAAAAAATCCAGTATGATAGTATTGTAGCTCTCAATAACTGGTATGGAAATGGATATTTAATTTACGTATCGGCACGGATGTAAAGAAATAAAAGATCTACAAGAATACCTATCCTGATGCCAACTAACACAAAAACCCATACATCTACTCTCTCGTTAAGTTCAACGTGTGCCAAATTTTTCGTACAAAAGTCGATTTGAATCGCGAAGAAACTGTGCAGGCGTATCGTATATATTTTTTACACTTTTTTCTTGAATAATTAAATGAAAGGAACGCAAAATAGTGCATTTCGATGATCGAAAATGACAAATGAAATTTTCAAAGTTTTGACTCTTTACGGCCGGCTGTTGCCAAATGGCAACATACAGCCATTCAACATAGAATCACCGTTCAATTTTAAGAAGTAGCTTTTTTCTATCTCTATGGCAGGATAAGAAAATATATGCAAAAGAAGAGTTTTAACTATGTCGCTTCTGGGAGCCGACTAGAAAGGGTTAAGAATATTATGTAGGTCTCCACGGAGCCTACCTTTAGCAATCGTAAATATGGGAGAGGATTCACCGAGGAACGGTAGCACATATGCATACTTCTCCACAACAAATTAATTATTTACGTCATAACATACGTAACCTGTTAATAGAATTTGTTTAGGTTCATATTGAGTTTGTTTATCTGTAAATACGAAGCGGATATATCTGAATAAGACTATGTCAGAAGAAGACTCGTCCAGCAACGCACACTCTACTATTTGACAATCATTCATCTCACAAAACTCCTCACAATTCTCACGCTCAACATAACCAACAGGATTCATTAAACAGAAAATAATAGTCGGACAAAGATTGTTCTTGAAGATTTCGTTACGGTCATTAAAACAGCTGAAGTATTTCCCATAGTAGTTTGCAATACATTTTCCATCACCTCATGGAAAACCGTACCATCCTAGTGCGCAAGTGTGCTCTTCATAATGGAAACAGGGATCTGTTCGATAACTGCCAAAATTCTGATTCCCAATAGATTCATCGGTTCCATCTAAACACTCGAGTTCAGTAGTTAAATCGTGAAAGAATTCTATTGGAATGCATTGACCATTATGGCATCGATATTCAGTTGAAAGACATTCATTCATCTCGAGTTGAAAACAATCGAATTCATCTGACCCATTCAAACAGTCTACTTTTTCGTCACAAATCTCATGCCAACCCAAACATAAGGGAAGAATTGTATGGCATTTGAGATGTTCATCACATGTTACTTTAATATAATGCTCGATTTCTGATTTTGATTGATATATGAAGTTGGCAAAGCCTCTCAATAAAATGTCAAGCGGTAGATCACGAGAAAAACACCAGCGAGGACCAAACCATGGTGATGTACAATTGTAAAATACATTTTTTGATTCAAATGAAGCTGATAATGATAAAATTTTACTCAAAAACATTTCATACTGTTCAGCAAAATCAATTGAAGCTGACCAAGAAACTAATTGCTCGCTTTGGATATCTTCCTTGTTCAGTTGAGCAAAAGTAAAACTCGAATCCCATGTATTGCTAAAACCAGAGTCCTGGGTCAGAAAGCTGCTTTCTGGTAACCACAGACAGCATGAAATTAATTCATGAGCCGGTGCATATTCTTGAAAGTGGCCATGTTGATCATTAGAGACAAAACATAGAAGAAAAAATACATACTGATGCGAATCAGTCAAACACATATTCAATGGATAGCGTGGCACGGCTTCAACTTGCCACAAAATTAACATGTATAATAAGAGCATTTATAAATAGCAATCTATATTCGAAAAAACTACGATTGCAACGTGTCATTTGATTACTTTTTCTTTGCACATAAAGATCATATTTGAACAAAACTAATGACATTATTCCAGCATACACACGGCACTATGTGCCTTTTATGTATGCTCTTACTAACACATGGACATGGCTCATATTTCACCTAATAAATCACAAATTCGTCACGAGCAACAAATAAAATGCTGAGTGTGTGTGTGTCTTACAAGATAAGACCTACAATAAAGGGTGTGGCTGTAGGTGTGGTTGTGAGTGAGAATAAGAGTAACACCCACACCCAGCCACCCTCTGAGGTCGCGTTTGGTAAAGACTACGAGTGTACAGTGAATCAGGCTGCCAGAGACCGAAATATGGTTCATATTAGGCGTAATTCGGGAATTTTTTTTCTGCTTTTCTGCTAACTTACATGGGTGACCCCTGTCATTTATAAAATTATAATTCAAAATTTCTTTTTCTGAATTTTTTCGTTTATTTTCGAATTTATTTAATGCAGTTAAAGTGTGATCTATATTATAACTCGAATTAGGCAACACATGCGATCTTTATGCCTTTGGAAATGGTATTGTTACATCCCTAACCTCGAAATTTTATTGGCTGATACCGAGATTTTGAAAATATATTATTGGCTCAATTTCGACCTCTCGAAATCTGATTGCCTGGGATCAACATCTTGAAGGCACCCCATTGGTCCATATCCCGGTTGCATAGTACCAGTTAGATCTGTGATGGTACTTACGATTCAGCAAAGAGCGATCTTCAAGGTCAATGAAACATTTTTTTCGTTCTGTGCGAACGAACGAACATAAAACTCATTTCGGCGTTATGACTCTCATTTCAGTAGCGGGAACTATGTACCACTATAACGGAAGAAAACAGAATCTCAATGGTTTTGCTGTTTTTTTTAGAATATTGTTCTTAGACTCAAACTGTGACTATATTTTTTTCAACTTGGAAATAGTATCATTCCGTAGAGTTTTTTAAGCTCTATCGAATTAGATGGTTTTTCGATTTTTCCGAAGACTTGTCTATGCAGTGATATGCGGTATCTTTTCAGAGATGTGTATTAATCTCACGTGAAGTCACGCTATATATTTGATCTAGGAAACGCTGATGGTGCTCTTTAATTTCTATGTAGATACAATCAGCACATTTTTTTGAGTAGCTCTATGCAACTTTTGCATATGTTGTTTGGTAAAAATGAAATGGGCCGATTTGCGTTCTTACGCGCGCCCGTCCTTTCTTAAGAGGTCACTTATTTTGTTTTTATCAATTGCATACTATCGGAATTGATTGTACTTTAGAAGGTCACACATTCTTTGTACATCAAACAAATTGTAATTATATGACAATTGAGTGTAGTACATAGAGCGAACGATACTTATCTCTGATCAGTGACTACTTAGAAAAAAATTGGTTCAAAGTATGGCATGTTCAATACCCCATGAAGAACCTAGTTTTACGTCTATGCAAGAAATTTAAATGTTGCTAATCGTTGACCAAAACAACTTTCACAAATAATTCCCTTACGACTATTCAAGACTATCTTCTTGATTAATAGATATCAAACAATAGAAGAAATCACAACATTTGAGACGAAAAAAAAATCAGAATTGGCTATGCATATCTTCCTTTTTACTTAATCAATTCGATCATGGGAAAATAATCTCATCTTATTCGACTTTCATATAATTTTGCAAATCTCTGAAAAACATAGAGAACAAGACTTTTTTAACTTAAATAACAAAAAAAGACACAGAGACTGATCTTTCGCTGCTGCAAGGAGTAATATGCATCTGACTGCCAATGAATATTGATACATTCATTCAGAAAATTAATGGTGCTCTGCGAGACAAATAGAACAGCTATGCAGCGAATAAATAGCAGAAAATCAATCCCTACTGAAACAAATAAATATTTACACCTCTTGCTCTATATTAAAGACGCGCACTTTCTTTTTACTCTAAAAAACAACAAAAATTGAATAGATTTTTCAACAGTTGTATGAAAAATTTTCTCAAATGATACTTTCGGTACGGGTATGGGTGTGTTACACTCGAGATGCAAAACTATAGCTATATCCACACCACACAGCTGAAGAAAAAATATCTTGTAATTGACTTCATACAAAAATGTGGGAAGACATTTTAAAAGAATGGCTATGCAATCAGTTCACGAATGATTTTTTGCTTTATTCCGATATTAAATTAAGACTGAAATATCTTTATTGTTCATCCCTTCCGATGCAACTATGCATGATTGAGAGAAGAAACAAAATAGAATTTAATAAAAGATGAGAAAGACGAAAAGAAATGAAGTCTTATTGTTACTTATGGTATCACTAAGTATTACTGTCTCATGACTAACTATAAAACTTCTCGTATTTATTTTATTTTGTAATTACTTGTCCATAATTACTTCACTGCATAACATAATATAAAACCTTTATGACTTATAACCACACAATAACTAGCAAAAAGACCTCTTCATACATGCATAACGTCAAACAAACAAATATGATTCATGACCAAAAGAAGGATAATGAAAAGAAAAAATCCATGCAGTAATCGCAGGTAACGACACTACCGAACACTGAATGTGCTATAAATACAAATCATCAATATAAATATATGTATTCAGGCAAATTTTACACATACAACATTTTTAAATAGATGTTATTTCATTAAATTGTTAAATAATGCCTTTGAAAGTAAAGCGCTACTAAACGCACACGTACGCTAGCGACACATACATTTTACATACATAAAAGAGGCTTGCTTTATTTTCTCACTAGAGGATTAATTTCTTAGTGTGGTCGACTATTGAATAAAAGCGGAAATCATTCTCACGAATTTTTCGTCTGTTTGGAATCTTACTTATCTATGAAACAGCAAAAAAAACGATTTTTTCTTGCGAAAATGTATGTAATTTGATATTTTGCTTTAGATTTATATTACAAACGATGATGTCTTCATCACAGCAATTCATCAATTGTAGTTTTGATAAATTCGTAGAGACGATGAAGCCAATCATTATACAATACAAAATTGAAGAAAATGAATCCTTACCCAGGTCGTTCATGCCTACAATCGGATCCAATCGGATCTGAAAATGGATTGCATCGGATCTTACATGAAAACCGACAAGAACCAACAGATTCCGGGTTTCGGGCCGAGATTCGGATCCTTACCCATGTCATAAAAATCGCTTAAAAATCGACGATTTTATCGCGATTTATTAGCCCGATTAATCGTGCGATTATATCGCGATTAATCGTTTGAACTGGTGATATTTACCG